CATGCTCTTATTTCTGCTAGATTTACCTTTCCATGTTCTGAAGGACTACCTTGTTTTTTATTAGGGATTATTCCTTTCTCATTCTAAGCCTGACGTGGATATATTAAGATGCAACCAGACTTTTTTTTGACAGGCCTCTAACTTTAATGTCTTGCATATTTAAAGCTTTAAACTAAACATTCTTCAACCGTCTTAAATATCTTGTGCTACTCATAATAATTTTATAAAATCATATACCCTGTGCATTCGTGTGTCTGTGTGTGTACATATACATACATAATAAATTTAACTCTTTAACTCCCAAAAGTCTGGGTGACTTTTAATACCCAACTATAAAATTAGAACAGTTAAAAGCATAAAATAAAACATATCAACCCTGTTCAAAAACAACCTTAACAATGAAACCATAATACACTACCTTCAGGCTTGGAACGGATCCAGATCATCAGAGCTCCTGGAACTCCAGGAGAGCAGGTACTCTACGTATCTCTGATGGATGTTGTTCCAGGTAGGGGCAACAATACAGAAGGTACAATTCATGGTCCCTAAATGGTGCTTAATTGAAGGGACCTGAAGCACATTCACTCTACCTGAACACACCTGGTGGAGAGAAACAAATAGAGATAGGAGGCCTTTCAGATAACAGGCCCTAGGCCACAAAGGGTTTTATAGGTAACAATTAGCATTTTGAATTTCACCAGAAGCCAAGTGACAGCCAACTCAGCTCACGTAGCAGCAATAACACATTGACATAACAAGTGCCCATTACTGTTCTTGCTACTGCATTTTGGACAAGCTGTAGCTTTTGGTCTTGGCAGTCCCAGGTAGAAAGACTTCAATAATCCAATTGTGGGTTGATGATGAGAACATGAGTCTGATAAAAACATGAGTCTGAAAGTCTTTTGGCTGAGGAAAGGGCACATGGGATGCACAAGAAGAACCAGTGCAAAGGCCCTCTTGGTCATGGCTGCCACCTTCTCATCAAATTCCTGAAGATTCTCAAGTTGAACGGGGAACTGTGACATTTTTAAAGCTTTCCTCTTCATCCTTATATTTAAGTAAGAAGGTAGGTTGCAGCAATTTTGTTCTCACAATAGAGTTCTAACTTTCTGGAAAAAGGATAGGAGCTGAAACTATCACTAGCATGTACCTTTTCTGCAAATAAATAAATAAATTCAAGAGTAAGAAAAAAAGGTGTTGCAGTAAATGATTCTGACTTTTTGCGGAGGCTTAGATGGATGAAACTCTGCATCTTATCTATATCCACTGATCCAACCCTAAATACCTTATTAAGCACATAGGGTTTCCTTTGGCTGGGTTCACACAACTCACATCCTCAGGTGAAACGACACCATTATTTTCTTAATTCAATTTTTGGAAGCTGAACAAATCAGTGTTTGCATTGCATAAGTTGGAATCACATAACAGTTTACCTAAGATGTCATTCTTGGTTCAGTTTGCAATATAAACAGATATGAATTAATCTAAAACCTATATTTTGTAACAGCTTAAATTATTCTGCTAGATAACATAAATAAATGGATGGGAATGAAAGAATACAGAAAAACTTGACAGAGATTTGGGGGATCTAAGAATGAATGACAATAGTGATTATTTTGTGTTTAAGCTTACATACAAATATCAAAGGGAAAAGCAGTTGAAAACAAAACTGGTTTAATATGAAGAAAGAGTTAGTGAAGGATAGAAAAGAATGACAGATTCTCAGAGTAAAACAGACCAATTTCTGGTGGGGTTAAGAGTGAAAAAGAGAGAAATTGTTGGAAAGGAAAGAAATGGGAATGAAAGTAGAACTGCAAGAGAAAAAATGAATCTATAAAAAGTATTAGAAGACAAATTGCTGTCAAAAAAGAATGAATGGTATGCAGACAAAAAAAACATGGAAACTGCTTGGAACAAAATGAAAACAATGGTACAGAATGCCAAGAAGTGTGTTGAATTGCGCTAATGGAAAAGTTGAAAAAGGATTTTTGGTAGAATGATCAAAATGAAAGGAAGAGAAAGATTGCTGCTAAAAAAATTAGAATGACAGACAGAAATCTAATAAATATGTTTGCAAACAACATATTTAAACAGAACAAGAAATACATGTTTTGGAAACAGATGAAACAGTTATACAAAAGAGCTTCCAGCAGAGTGATTAAAATTAAAAATGAAAGTGAGAATATAATTTGGAATGAAACTGGAATAAGGAAATGTTGGAAGGCATTATTTTAAAAATTTGTAAAATTAATTATATTTATTTTTAAAAGTGGCTTTGAAATGAATACTATAAATGCTAGCATCCAATAAAACACTGATGAAAAGCCAATTATAACTACTATAAAAATATTGAAAAATGGTAAAAGTAATATAGCTTGAGAAATGATAACATACATGTGTGGTTGGCTTGCAGAGTGGCAGTAAGATTTGTTCACTGTGTATGTACATATGTGTGAAAACTGCTTCTGTACCTGACACTTAGAACAATAACCTTTGGGAATTTTTCTAAATAGAAACGTAGCAAGCATGAATGTAAAAACTGCAGGGGAATAGATTTGTTTATGTGCTCAGAAAAATGTCCAACAAAATTCTGACCAAAAGGTAACAAAGAGCAAAGTCTGGAAAATTAGGCAAAGGGGTTTGCTTAGCAAATGATTCAACATTATGCATGGACTTAGTCAAGCATTAGGCTTACAGAATAACAAGAGTTGGAAGGGACCTTGTAGGTCATCTAGTCCAACCCTCTGTTCAAACAGGAGACCCTGTACCATTTCTGACAAGTGGCTGTCTAGTCGCTTCTTGAATGAAGCACCCTCCATTGATGAAGCACCCACAACCTCTGAAGGCAAATTGTCCCATTGGTTAATTGTTCTCACTGTTAGGACATTTATCCTTAGTTCTAGGTTGAATCTCTCCTTGATCAGTTTCGATCCATTGTTCCTTGTCTGGCCTTCTGATGCTTTGGAAAATAGGTTGTCCCGCTCGTCTCTGTGACAGCCCCTCAAATATGCATATTCACTTGTTCGTTTATAATTTATACAGAAACGCTTGTGATGGGGGCCACAGGTGTGTTTGGTTTAGACAGGAATTTGTGCACAAATGATGCTATGCTGGTCAAACATCCAAGTGATTTGAAGCAGATATTAGATTGTGTGCTGCAGCAAGAGGTATGAATCTGAAAATTAATGTATCAAAGACCAAGATGGTTGTGCTTGGTAGAAAAAATGGAGTGAACAAATTGCAAGTTATATATGAATACCAAACAGCTAGAGCAAGCTGATTAAAATGTATATTTTAATACTGACTAAAAATAGAAAACCATGAAAAATGTTTAAGGATCGTTCAAATGTATCGTAAAAAGGGAATAGGTACTTTATGGTCTGTTGGAAGGAATGTTTGTCAAGCGAACAAAAAGGATTGTGTAAAAGAGTGTACTTCTGCCTCTTTGTTATGGGAAGAGTTGGTTTATGTCAGGAGAAGGGGAAAAAAATAAGTTGAATACACAGGGTTGGATTCCAGGTGTGTGTCTGTTAAAATAGGAAGTGGTAAAAATGAATTAATGTGGAATGCAAGTGAATTGAATACAAAGTGACAGACCAATAGCAAAAGCATACAGAATGCTAAATTAGTAGCTACCTAATTTAAGTGCGGAGTGAATGAAAGAGTGGGACAGGCTGAGATGAAATAGAAAACTGAAAATAATAGCTGGACTTGATGCGATACAAAGGGAAAAAGTGCTAAGATTAAAGAGTAAAAGATAATGTACGAATGAGAAGGAAGCAAGGATACAAGGGCATTAAGAAGTATAGCAAGCTCTGTTGGTGTAAACCAGATTTTCCTTTTCTTTTATTTCATGCTCTTTATTCCTAGACTTATAATTGAACTTTTTTTCCGTACACGGAAGAGTAATACACACCCCAAAAGGGAACTTAGCTCAGTAACGAAGACACTGAGCTTGTCAATCAGAAAGGTCAGCAGTTCGGCGATTCGAGTTACTTGTCCCAACTTCTGCCAAACTAGCAGTTTGAAAGCATGTAAAAAATGCAAGTAGAAAAATAGGAACCACCTTTGGTGGGAAGGTAACATTGTTCTGTGCACCTTCAGCATTTAGTCATGCCGGCCACATGACCACGGAGACGTCTTCTGAGAGCACTGTCTCTTTGGCTTTGAAATGGAGATGAGCACCGCCCCCTAGAGTGGGGAATCACTAGCACATATGTGCGAGGGGAACCTTTACCTTTATAGTATGCATATTTGTACATATGTGCACAGCGAACAGGGCCAATTTTGGGTCCTAATCCTATACCAAATACTTACAAGGTGTGGAGGGATTCTGGCTACATGCTAGAATGTCATGGCAGAAATAGATCACAGGAAAGGCTGACAAGTCTGCATCAGAAGATAGACGGCATAAGGGAGGGAGCACAATATCACCTGAAAGCCACATAACATCCAAGCAGCTTCCAGTGCAAAAGGTACGGTAGCTTAGAAGAGCTTATACTGTGTCTTTTGGGCACCTACAACCCTACAATTTACTCCTCAATAGCCAACCACAGGCTTGAGCTTGACGCTGCCGTTTTCGGGTTACCGATATCAGCTCCGCCAGCCTCCGGGGGTGGGGGACAAAAAACCGCCTGGAGAGCCTAATAGTTCTTAAGCCAAAGCAATTTAGAAGCGCAAACTTTTGAGTTCGGCCGATTTCAAGGCCGGGGCGGGGGAGGGAGAGGAGGTGCCAAAAAAAGCGGCGGGTAAGAATGAGAAAACAGAGGAATCGAGTCTTGAAAGTCCCTGCCCGGTGCCTGAACTTCCTTCTCGATGTCCTCGTCATTCTCCAGCCCGGTCCAAGTGGGAGGAATCGCTTTGCTCGCTCTCACACCCCTTTCTCTCTTTCCCTCCAGGGTACGAAAGAGGAGGCCGCGCCCCGCCGAGCGATCCGACTCCCGTCTCCGCCCCGCTCCCGAGTTTGTTTGGGTCCTCCGCACTTTCACCCTGGTGTGGAGGAAGATGGAAGGCTACAAACTGTTCCTGGCCTTCCTCGCCTCCGCGTTGCTGCTCGGCGTCCTCTCCGTCGCCTTCGTCCTGGTCTGGGTCCTGAACTACCGCGAGGGGCTCGGCTGGAACGGGGACCTTCCCGAGTTCAATTGGCACCCGCTCCTCATCATCACGGGCTTCGTGTTCATCCAAGGGATCGGTGCGTAAAGGAGGACGGAAAGTGTGGGTGGGTGGCCTGGAGGACAGCCGAGCGATCAGGGGCGGGGGTGGAGAGGGAAGAGGTCGCGAGAAAAGGCTGCTGGGCGTGTGTGTGTAGGGCTTCTGGCAGACTGACGAGGGTCTGTCAGCTCTCGTGTGTGTGTGTGTGTGTGTGTGTGTGTGTGTGTGTGTGTGTGTGTGTG